TGGGCGATGTTCTAACCAAAAACACAGCCTGTACAAAAACTAGTTTTTGGAAACAGAATTTAGAAATAAACATTTCACTATGTCACATTATTTTTCTTTTGTCAAAATGATGCAAAGTTGTAGTTTAACCAGCTTTTGCTTTCAAATCTTTGAAATGGAGGGTTTTATATGGACCCTACCACTCACCATACCCCAAAACGATTCAAAGTGTCTCCAGGACCAAAATGTTAGATTCAGAGCCGTGAAACTAGGAAAGGAGACATAGGAAGTCGTTTCAAGACAGGAGTGTAAGAATGATTTTATAGGACTCAGAGCACAGACAACAGAAAGCACAGCAGAGATCACCTCATGGAAGAGCTTCTTCATAGAGAAGGAACAAACAGACAACCAACAGGTTGGGGGAAAATATTTGCCAACTAATTTTACAAGGGATCATTATCTGGTATGCTTAAAGAACACACAATCAACAATGAATTGAAAGCCAATTAAAGTAAATTATCTGAATAGATGTTTCTTTTCTTTTTCTTTTTTTTTTTTTGAATAGATGTTTCTTAAAAGAAGAGATATAAGTGGTCAACATATATGTGAAAAATTGCTCAAAGTCACCAACTATCAAAACAATGCAAATCAAAACCACAGTAAGTACAATCCCTCTTCTCTCTCTGCCTGATTCCTTCATTTTTGGGTATTTACACACGGACCTCTGGAGTTTTTATACATCTAGAGTTCATTGCTCCTCCTGTGTGCTCCACAAACAGATAAATTTGCACAGCTGGGGAAGCAAAAGTTTTAGTCAAAAGAAACAGACCAGCAAGTTTACAAAAGAGCTGAAACAATCTCTATCACATTTTGAGGGAAGTTGATCAGCTGCGAGGATTTGGAGTCCAGAGAGTCCAAGAATGCCAGGGATTCTTCTTGGTGTCCACATAAGTTAAATATTATTTTTCAAAACAGGAAAGGTGTGGACTTCTTTGTTTTGGAGGGGAGGGTCTACAGGGTGTTCAGGGTCTCATCATCTCCACGCCCAGTCTCAATTGCTATCTCGGCGCGCCCCGGGGGCGGGGCTGGCACGGCAGGCAGGCCCGAGGTGTGGGCTTCAAACCAAAGCCTTGTTAGTTGACTCTAGGGACGGTGATCTTGAGCACCAACCACAGTATCAGGACCGTTCATCCAGCTGGTCTGTTACTGGGGAGAGCTGGCCTGTACCCCTTGCTGACTGGAGCACATGGGCCCCAGCAGGCAGTTGCTGCGCTGCTTGAGTCCTTCCTGCTCTGCCCAGCCCCCAGTGGCTGCGCGCTCCCTCTGTGAGCACTGACCCCTCAGCCACACTACTGCACTGATCCTGGTCTGCTGATGCCAGTCTTCTCTCCACTGCAAAACAGAGCCTTTGGCGTGTCTTCTCCATCTAAAACACTTTGTGTTCTGTCATCAGCCTGGAGAAGGGCTGATCTTCCTTTTATCTGAAGGTCCTTTTCATTCAAGTTCTCATTTGTTCATAGAGATCATATCCTCTTAATTACTAGCTCTCTTAGCAATTTCAAAATCTTCCCTCTGCTCCTGATACTAGGGGGGAACCCAGAGCACTCATGCTGAGTTACAACCACAGCGCTTTTTTATTTTGAGAGAAGTTCTTACTCAGTGGTTAAGTCATTCATATTGAGCTTGAGTTTATGATTCTCTTGCCTCAGCCTGCTAGAGTTGCTGGATTAAGCTGACAAAGTGACTTTCATTAACACTAATTTTGCCAAGAGTGGTGGCACACATCCAGAATCCTAGAATTTGAGAGGTTGAGAAACTGAATTGCTGTGAGTTCAAGGCCAGCTTGTGTTATGTAGTGACTTTAAGGCCAGCCTCAAAGACAAGTGACTGTCTCAAAAGCAAACAAACAGAAACACCAATTTTATATAACCTATCTCATTCTCCCATCTTTACATCCAAAGTAAGGATATTAAGATAAGTTTTAAAGGTCATTCAGCTAGCAGTGGGTACCTAGAAACCTCCAGTCATCATCCTAAACCTAAGGTCACTTTGGATACAGCGGAGCCTCTGAAGCGCTGAGACTGCTCCAGGCAGGAAGAATGATCCCATGGAGACCATTTTGCCCTCTCAAGCAATAAGACCTTCTCCACAACCATCTTGCAAAACTAGAACTAAGATAACGATCAAAAATGAAGTAGTCCAACTTAGCCCCTCTATAAAAACAGGTCACATTCCCTTGTTGACAGGCCAGTCTGACCATCCAAGCTATTCCCCTTCAGCGCCTCAAACTCCAGTCACTTCTCTCTTTTTTTTTTTTTTTCTTCCTGAACCTGTATAAGATTCTATGTATGCCTCTCACTGCAAGGAGAGCCAAGAACCAACATTGGGTGAGTTAAGGTCCTCCTCTCCACTTCTTATTTATTTATTTATTTATTTATTTATTTATTTTGGCAGAACCTGGGATTGAACTCAAGCCCTTGTGCTTGCCAGGGAAACGCTTATTCCACTGAGCCATCTCCTGAGTTCCCTCCTCTCCACTTTAGGAGGGCCTCCTCAGACTGCAACTGGTGGTATATGGACTCAGAACACTCAGCTAAAGTATGTATTGGTAACTTTATATTTATGTTATAGTGGAATTGTACTACTTTCTATGAGTTACATAAAATGTACTGAAATTGTTACCTGTCCCTATAGAATTTCAGGTGTTTTTATGGCAGATATTTTTAGTGAGACGAATCTGTTCCTGAAATTTGTAATTTAAAGAAGCCAGGGCCAGGGAAATAGCTCAGTAGAATAAGCACCTGCCTGGCAAGCACAGGGTTCTGAGTTCAATCCCCAGTACCACAAAAAAAAAGA